GGGGCCCGCGTGTGGATCTGCTCCGTGTTGTGTGTGGTGTGTTCCAGGTCGATAAATAAATGCGTAATAGTTAATGTGCAGGCGCATCAGGGTAATAACAACGGGACGAAATCAAAGGATTATCAATCTCTGTTAGTAACTGCTGAATAACAATGTTGCGGTGTGATTGATAGCGCGCTTCGTTTTACGACTTTTCTATTGCTCTTGATTTTTATAGCAGTATAAACAAACTAAATCATTTCTTCCAAGACTTCAGGGCGCGATCGTCTTAAGGGAAGGGGGGGGAAATCAGAGAAGGAAGCCCGCGGGAGAGAAGGGAGCGGGCAGGGCTGAGACTTCAGCGTGTCAGCAAGAAAATGACAATGGGGCACATGTAAAATACCCTAATCACATTCCGCTGCCGCGCACTCCTGTTTTGTCAAGTGCCTGAATTCACCCGGGCAGCATCGGAGATGTATTTACAAGGATTTTATTCCCCGTCACCTTTCCATTTTCCCAGCGTAGCCAGAAAACTGCCAGTCAAGTCCATTCCCTGTTACAATTTACGGTATTCCCCACATGATCATAGGAACTGAAGTTCCTAACAAGGAAAGGCTTTAGCACAATGGCCCAAAATCTTCAGAGTGACACGAGCGTCTTCAGAAATCACTTCAGAGCAAAGTAAAAGGATTTTCTATGACGGATCCAGTCATTTTTCCTCAATAAATAGGTTTTAGATTGTTACACACACGTAGAACTGGAACAAAGGGAACTACCAGAAAATATATTGGTTGCCCCTAATAAAATTTATTTAGACAGTTTACTTCTCATAAAAAATAGAGATTGAATTTCGTACAGGAGCGCCTGCCAAGGGGCTAGGCACTGGGAAATCAGCTCCCCCCGCACCTTCCTTTTTACCTTTCCTTTTCCATCCCATCCCATCCCATGCAATTCTGCTCTGATTTAGGAACAGAATCTCCTTTTATCAGAATAATTATATTTGGAGCGGGAAACACGGTAAAATAAGGTTAAACTGCTGGAGTCAGCAGGGTGGCTTGGCGTAAATGGCTGATAAGGTTTGTAATCTGATATTTTATTTACGTATTTATTGAGCATCCATCCAATTAAGGGGGCTGCTGTATGCAGAGCACCGTAATTGCTTTTTACACTTAGCAACGCTCCCAGCGTTTATCAAATGTAACTTTTGGTTGCCTGGCTTGTTCGCGCGGCTTGCCTTTTCTTTTCTTTTTTTTTCTTTTTTTTTTTTTTTGGTGTATTTCGAGACAGTAGTGCTGAAATATCGGATATTATTATTATTCTTCACATTCCCGCTCCTCAGTGCTGCATTGTAACATTGTTCGCTTTAATGAGAAGCGCCTCCCTCAATAATTAACGACCTCACATTTCCCTATTTTCTTGCCTGATGAAAAGAATCAATTTTAATTCATTGTAAATTACAGCTATGCTTTTGAGCG